ATCAGCTGATTCTTAGCGATGACTTAGAAACAGGGCCGGTCCTGACTTTTCCGAGGCCCGGGGCGAGCTTTTGTGGCCCCCATGAAGAAAGACATTTCTTTTTGAAAGACATAGTCAATAATTTCATTCATACTGATATATATCACAAAAGTTTATCGGACTTCAAACATCTAACTAAACAACAGTACTAAGAATTCATTAGCAAATACGATCTCATAATACACCAGGGACATGGTAAATTTTAGCAAACAACCAACAAAGCTTTTTAGGTTATACGTATACTGCAGGAAAGGAGGGGGGACAGCTGAATCGTTGAAGGAGAAAAGTAGAAATTGAACTAGCCAATTCCAAACATCTTCGACATCGCTCCATCCTCAATTTCGTGTTTGAGAAACCTGTATAGAAAGAGAAGACCAACTAGTGAGCTAAAATTACATAATTGAGTACAAAGATCAAATGGAAAACAGACTGAAAAGTTACTAGAACTTTTTGAGGCGGTGTCCATCCTAGTTGCAAAGCAAACATAACTGATGTGGTTCGGCTGGCCTACCCCCTGCGGCTGCTCATAGGATGGGACGTACTTATAGGTAGCGTGCTGCAGGAAAAAAAAGAGAAATCCATAAGGTACGAGTAGTAGTGATGAAAAATTTAAGGGTGATCAACGGAACCAGTCATAATATTGCTAGGTGCTTCGGAAGAGGGGCGGAACGGAGAACGAGAAGACAGACGCGGGGAGAAGAAACAACGGCTGTGGCGTTAGCCCCTTGGTTAGATCGATGGAATCCGAACTCTACTTGAAGAAACGATTGGCTGAACAATAAAACGATGGGCTGTATAGCGTACGTACCACACAGGTTGGGGCCCCTCATCAGGTGGGGCCCTAGGGCGTCGCACTTCTTGCCCCTACCCAGGGCCGGCCCTGCTTAGAAATAGCAATATGTTGATGACGACATTGGTAATGTAAAATGCATTTTCTACAAAGGGTGGATACATCTTTATTTTCACTATCCTCCATGTCCACTCTAGTTTTTTTTAATAAATACATAAATATACAAGTTTACCAATCTATAACATGCATACATGCAAAGTATAAGATAGTAAGACAAGGTAACTGTTAAGTAGCAACTCAAAATATCCTTGACACTTAAAAAAAACTTTAGATTGTTTCATTTAGAATTAATTGTAGTGGATTTAAGGTTTCCTAATATTCAAATAGTACTTTCTCCGATCCAAAATCTAATTAGGACATGGCACATTCTTCAAGATGATAATTTGACCACCAATTAATGCACAAACATGTTGCCTAACATTACAAAAACTATGCGTGTTTAAGGTATATTTCATTATAAATCTAGTATTGTTGACTTAATGTTTTAGATATTCTTTCTTTTTGGACAATAAACTTCAAAATGTTTGGTGGACACAATTGTAAAAGGAGTGGAACTTCGGTCTGAAGGCATGTGGTAGTAAGCATCAATCTCTTCAGAGCAACACCAGAAATCATTTTAGTATTTTCTAATTGTGGATGTTATATACATATCTACATACATGAGAAATAAACATGACCAGCTACATCTGTTAGGCTATGGCTTTAAATTCATGTGGATCGACTAACTTTACCATTCAGGTGGAAGAGGGCTTTACCGTCAACATAGAGGAGATTGTAGGAAGACTCAACTCTGCACTGTACCAACATAGCAGCAACAACAACAACAGTGGCGGCAACAATTATTAAGACTCGAGAATCGAGAAGAAGGATTGTCTACATAACAGACATAATTTATATGTATGGCATATGTACATATATACGTGCAACGACCATCAATTGATGCAGAGGTCGGGCTTTTTTCCTTTTTTTTCTTAAAAATTGGCGTAATGACCTGATATGCTATGGCTGATTTGTCTTTCACCATGCATGGTTGGATGCATGAGAACTAGTCTACAAGATGGAAGATGTATAAGCCAAGTTGTGACGATCTAGAGCATGGTGGTCATTCATTTGCGGGCCTTTTAGTGCACAATCATTATATATAAATTTGTAGGAATCAAGCTTTTTATTGGTCCACTTGGCTAAGTTCTGATCATTGGATCATGGTGCCCTTACAAACCATGCGATTACATACAAATCGTAAAGCTTCAGCCCAAAATAGTAGTCTCTCACGATAATGGCCGACAAGGGGGGCCCAAAGGGCATGGTGGTCATTTATATATATATAGACTGTTGTCCATAGTAATCCGAAACAATTGTTCACCCCAAATGTTAGGAGAGGAACAATGGAATATATCACTTTCGATCAGGCAAATGCACGACAAATTGTCTTTTGTGATGTTGTTTTTAAGATGGTACTTTGACCATTATTTTCTATGCAAACATGCTATTTCATTTCATACTTTCTAGTAATTCTTCTATATAAATAGTTTCTAATGTTTTCAATGCTAGTAATTCTTCTATATATATAATCAAACTTAGAAATGTTTGATTCACAAAATCTTAAGAGGTCATTATATTTGATTAGATCGGTACACCTCCCTAAATACTCTGTATTGGACTAGTTATACATCATCCTTTTGTTTGCGGGTATATATGATATGTTATTCGACAAAAAAACACAAATCAACACACAATCCATTAGAGCTAGCCATGAATCTCGATTAGAAAGACCCTCTTTCAAAACAGTTTTCCCTATGGAGACGAGCGACTAGAAACCCTAGTCGCCACCAAGAGAGCTGAGCCTTCCGGGCGTCCTCCGGTGGCCCCCCTCCGCTGATGATCTCTCGGTCGTTGATAGTGAAGGGGCACCAGATCCCGCGCGTGTGGATCGTCTTAGCTTTAGGTTTTAGGGCCCTAGTAGCTCAGGTTTTGGGTTGTTCGACGTCTTGGCTTCGGCGGCGGTGGCGACGACGACGCTGAATAAAGAAGCTCCGGATCCTTCCCCGGCGAGGCGATCGCCTCTATGATTGGTTATAGATTTGGGAACTAGTCTCTTCAAGCGGGGATGTCGTGGCGATGGCGGCATCCTTGTGGTGAACTTGTGTCCTCAGACTCCACAGTTGCAACGGTGTCTGCTCCAGCACCGACGCGGAGTTTGAGAGGTAGTCCAGGAGCGGATGCAGATTGTGGTCTACATTGGTGGCATTTGGAAGACAGCGGATCGTGTGCTGGAATCGTGGTTGCCAGTTGGCAAGTATGCTTTCCTCCTCCAACGTCCTCTTCGAGCGAGGGTGCCAGATCTGGAGTTCGATGGCATGTCTGGGGTGTTTCCTCGGTCTGATTCGTTCAATGGCAATGGTTTCACCTTTGGTGAGCCACCTAAAGGTCCGCAAAGCTGCATATCAGCAATGGAGCCGCGTCGAGCTCGGGTGGGGAGGTGATCCGTCATATTTTCCTTTGGTGGCTGTTGTGGTGGTGCCGAAGGCAAGTTGGTGTCAAGCTTAGGGGATTCTTCGGTTTTGATTGTAATTTTGTTTGCTGGCCGGTGGTCCTTTGTGCAAAGGCTTCTATCTTTTCAATTTTATTAGGTCGGTGTCTACCTGATTTGTACTATGATATTGATGAGACACGTATTACCAAGAAAGAAAATCTAGATTAGAATCGAAGGACAAACTTTCATCTTTTTCAACTTTCTCTTGATGGAGTACCGGACGGAGCAAGCTACTCCCTCCATTTCATATGCAGTCTATATTGCAATATTTAAAAGATCTTATATTTTATATTTAGGAACGGTTGGAGTACATTACTGTCGTCTGAAGAACTTTTCGTTGGTGGTACTGCACTAGACTTATCTCGCGTTATCTTTATCAACTACTAGTACTACCCACGGGCTTTGCCTGCTCGATCACATGAATGATTCCTCGGAATCGATGGCGTATGCGGTGCTGAAGGTCTCACCGGGGACGTCCACAAAGTAACTTTAGGGTTCCCTTCATTATAGTACTATTATTTCCTGTGTCCTCTTTCTGATAGAATGACGCGGTCAGGTGTTTCTTGTAGCGAACTCATGCGCTAACAGCAGACACACTCCTTTTCAGACTTTTTAGGCTGACAGAAACAGCTCCAAAAGCCAGTGCGTACGTTGTTCTATTATTAGTAATAAACTGAGCTGCTAGCTCCGGAATCCAATATATGCCATTGCCAGCTATGTGCTGATCACCATTGTTGGACAGGCAAAAAGTTGCTGACACAGGCGGAGAATGCGTGCGCATGAACTCGTGTCTCGTGATGTTCTTGCAGATGCATGTCGGAGTGTCTGTTTAGTTTAGGTTTGGAGGCAGCTCCCAGTCATTGAGATGACGTACCAATTCCTACTATACGTGTCATGTTTGCTGCAGACACTGTATTTACAGTAGTTCATCGTACTTCGTCGCAAAATAAATGTCGCTAATTTAGTGGTACAAGCTTGGGACAGAGAGTTTAGGGCGTTGTTTGAGGGTTAAGACAAGACTTTGGCTGATACTCTACATCAATACATGTGTGCTATATGAAATACAAGACCACCATCTGCATACGAAAGTTCTTTTGGATGCTGATCAACAACCTCATGCAAGTCTGCTGGCCGGAGGCGATCAGAGAGCGGCGCACCTCTGATGCTTCGTACTCCCTCTGTAAGCTAATATAAGAGTGTTTAGATCACTAAAGTAGTAATCTGAACGCTCTTATATTAGTTTATTTACGGAGGGAGTACTATTTAATTGCCACTTTAGAACATATGCTTGCAGCTATGGGTTAAAGTACTATACAGATATATACAAGTAATAACATATTGCTCGCATGTCCTTTGGAACGTCACTTATTAGGATATCAACAGCTATTATTAGGCTCAAATTGCAATTTGGATCCATAAGATACACTATTTTACTAAACAGTCTGGGTTCAGCGTTAATGACTACAGTTACATAGAAGTATATATACATTAGGTCCATAACCACACAAATACATGAGCTCACATACATACGAGATAAGACTAGAAAGAAAGAAAAACACACACACATCCGCCTGGTAACTACGAGTTCGCTCTCTGTGGCAATGTCTCGAATGCAGAAACTGTGTTGCCAAACTTCATGCGGTGAAGGGGCGCCCCACTCGGCTTGATGGCACACGCAACCTTGTCCTCGAGGGGGCACCGCGCTCTCAACATGGAGAACACGTGGTTGTTCAGCCTCCTAGCCTTCCTCATCGCTTCAAGGATGACCTCGTAGCCCTTCTCGCAAACACCATAAGCAAAAGCAATGTGAATCTCCAAAATCGACTGAGATAAAATATTGAGTGTCTTTAACTTCAGACTGGGAAAGTAGGAAGTGATCTGACTTGGAAGATATTTGGGCTTTTGCTCCTATCCGCAGGTTGGTAAAGTGAAACCGTTGCGGTTTCTATTTCTGCCACGTTGAGAAATTGGTAGGAGAAATCGAAAAGCTCGAAATGCAGCTGCTGCCCCAGTAAGTACATGATAGTACAACCAGCCCATGCTACAGAGTCGCCCAACATTTCTCGTTTCTTTGAAGGATTGGTCATGCTATCTTCCAAGTAGCTCTGGATAAGATAAGAAGCAAAAATCTACTTGTTCAGTCACTGCAAAAGGATGAGGCACTAAAACTATGCTGCAATCATGAAAGAAATTCATCAATAGCTCTGAAGTTTTATGCCATGGCAGAGGGAGTAGAACTGCTAAAGCCAGAAAAAAGAGCAATCGGTATAAGGTAGAGGCTACGGAGAGATGTGATTTGTTATCTATGCAGTTATTTTTTAAATAGGTGGAATAAACATTCAGAAGCTGCAGCTAAAAAGCTGTAGATGATGGGCACAACAGAGTTTACTTACATACTGAAGACCACTAAAAACACGATAGAAGTCCTTCGATGTGGTTATGTCAATGAAACCTGTCTTTGGAGTTGCACTCCATTTGCTGTAATGTCTATCCAGGGCAGCACTTGTGAAAGCAAGAGCGTACTCCAGCACGCTCCCTGAGTTGAGATTTGACTTGTACAATAGGCCTATTGCAAAGAGAAGTTTAATCCAAACTCGTAACATGGTAAAAGCAGTAGATAAGAAAAACACAGATTTGCATGCTTTAAGGCTCCACTTGGATGGGGCGGGAGGGGTTTGATTTAGACCAAATTTTACTTTTCAGATAGGATTAGGGTGAGCCCCACCTGTTCTGAACCCATCCAAGCGAAGACCTAACTAGCACTATTGATTTCATTACAAGAAACACCAGCTCTACAAATTGAGATGCCTAATCTGGAGGGTAAGCGTCCACAAACTTTATCGTTTTTTCTGAAAGATAACAAGCAAAAAAACATCATTTAATATGGACTTACTAGCAGCTTCAGCCTGCTTTGACATGACAAAATATGAAGATGGATTTGCGCATGCAGGACTCGATGCAACTGCACTGGTGGCAGCACTGAGCAGTGTGGTAAATGGAGTATTATCAGAGTAGGCATGCTTCACTTGCCCATCATTTCCTGGTACCAATCCCAGCCATGGAGCTGATTGCATGAACTGTGTAGTGTCGATTTGTCTCTGTTGGAGAACCAAATATGGACCAGTAAGATAAATGGAATATTTTACAACATTATAAAACAGGAGGGACAGAAAAAGTGACAGACAAAAAAAAACACCTACAACTGAATGACATCTGCTTACATCAGAAAGAATGCAGACCGATGTGTTTATAAACCAAACAACTTAACAGACAGTGGAATGGACAAAGAACATTAACATGTATAAGCAGTGTAAAAGCTCAAGCAGGACAATGAAAGCATAACGCAGAATAGTAAACCTACAATTTGACAATCATGGAAAATAAAAAAATTTGCCTACGGAAATAGGCTCACCAAAACAATGTCCAGAAGGCTCATCCAATACAAAGCACTTCCAATTTCCTTAAGGTCATGAAGAACTTCAACTTTCACATCTAATTTCGCTTCCCATGTCAATATTTCATGAATTATCTTCTGGCAGCCTACAATACATGCAGCATGCTATTCATAAATAAGGAGTTTGACTAATTAAGGAACCTGCCAAAAACTTGTATGGTCCAGAACCATCCAATGCTAGAAAACAATATGGACTTATAAGTTAGAATTTGATTCTACCACTTTAGAACCACACTGACAATGTACCAAATTAGCAGCATGAAAAACTATGATGTTTAGGTAGTCCTCTGTTCACTTATGTAGTCTTTTGTTCTTTAGGAGATACGATATCATAACTAGTACATCATCTAAAATGAAACTTCTACAGAAGCTTAGTTTCCCTTGTAAGATAAGCTCAAGCAGAACAGACTGGGCAACTGTACATAAATGTGGGGTGATAAATGATAATCACCCAAAAGTAGCACCAACACCTAGGATGGTTCTTTGAGTAATTATGCAGCACCCACTATGTTATGTTTCATGCGGGTATTTGCAGAAAGCCAGTATGGGAGCCCATTCCTGTTGGGATTTGGAACTCTGATTGCCACCAGCTAACATGTTACCTGATATACCACCATCAAACGAAAGAAGTCCAATAGACTTTGGCAGTGCTTCTTGCAATCCTGTTACTTTTGGCACCATAGCTGTTATCTGAACAGGAAGAGCAAATTATTAGTCACTTAGTATCTAGTCCAAAAAAATAGTACTCCCTCCGTTCCATATTAGTTGTCGCTGAAACGGATGTATCTAGCAGACGTATTTCAGTAGATACATCCATTTGAGCGACAACTAATATGGAACGGAGGGAGTACTTAGTAAACTTCATGTTGTCTCCTAGGTCTGCCTTCCTAGTATTTCAGTTATCAGAGATGCAGCCAAGCACTCAAGCATATTTTTATACAGTAATTTTACTTTGGCTTGTTAGGATACTGTGCCTTGAGGACATGTTACCTTAAAGTTAGCTAACAGTTATACACTCACCTTACTTGATATATGATCCAGTAAAGCACGGATAATACCAGGTAATGATCTGGAACCAAGAAGTTTAACAACTGCAAACATGTGAGGGATCCCAAAGAAGTCACGGTACAGACCAGCAAGACCCTGGTATGCCATTGTCAAATCCTACAAAGACAATGAGAGTGCAGCTATAGTGATTAAGGTCTCTGGTGGATATCATGTTGAGGTAAACATGGTAACACATTTTGGATGAGTGAAAAGGAAAACGTCATGAAGTCTGAGATGCAATGATGTCATATCTTGCAAATTGTACTGTTATATATAGTAATATCCCAGCTATCCAAATCCTATATATGTAAGAGTCATCCCCACTAACTTATTTATCTCAACATGCAAGTATGCCACCTCACCATACAATTATGAATGGGTAAGGCCCACTTCAACATGCAATCATGCATGGGAAAAGACCCACCACAACATTTAACATTTAACCATGCATGGGAAAATATTTTCCATCAAATTATTCTATTTATATTCAACAAATATTGTTACAACCACACATAATAAAATATAATAACTCCTATGTATTTTAATTTTTTGTTCTCATGTTACCAACCCAAATTTTTATCAACCAACTTCCGCAGCAACGCGTGGGGTATCCGCTAGTAACTTTAAATCTGCCTTACTCCCAGAGTTGCTCATTAGTCCATGATGCTTTCATTTTTTCATCAGAACTTCATGTTATATAACTCCAAGATTTAACTATGTGTAGCACTTGCATATTCATAAGTAAAAAATACTGGAAATGACAAGTGGCATATTCAGTGACAGGTACTGGAAATCGCAAGTGGCAGATTCCTAGCAGGTGCTTACATGCGATCCACAGTAGAAGTAAGGTTTCCCAGTAGAAGCATCTGATCGCTGAGAAGAGTGATGAGCTCCTTTTAATGATCTCACAAACCGTTGTGTAGTATTACACAGGATGAAATTGGGCAAGAAATCTGTTTGCATCTCATTCCATATCTGGGCCGATCAGAAAAATTGTCAAATTTAGATAAAACTTTAACTGGATAAATGAACAAGCATTTTTTTGCAGGAATAGACATAGAAATGCATATCAATATATCATATTGTAGCATCACTACTGATACTGTGAATTCCCAGCAAAAGCATAAAGGTTTTGTCTTTCATGTGCAACTGCCCACAATAATACATTGTTCACTAGTTGCACAGACGAAGAATTACACAACAGAAACTAGTGAATTCTCCAACCAGAGAAAGAACAAGCTAATACAAGAAAAAGAAATACAGGTCATGACTACCAGGCATATTGAAATTCAATCTCATTGCTAAGTCATATTACACATCAAAATAAGCATGGAAGTAGCCCAAACCTGAGAAGAGATGCGACTCGAATAAGAAACCAGTGAAAGGTTCTCTTGCATTTCACTAATCATAAGAGAGTAAGAATCCAGTTCAAGAAATCTTGATATTGACTGATGTGTAAGCTCCAAAATATCCAGTAGTTGTTGTAGTTCCTAATTGAGAAGACAAACGAGCCAAAGTTCCAAACAGTGATTGGCCAGAATAAACATGTAAATTGCTTAAGAAAATATAATTGAACACATGATAGATTGTCTGAACAAAAAGATAAAAGAATCTTACTACAACACCGCATAGATCTCCATATTCAAAGCGCTCCAGTAGGAAATCGATATTTTCTCGGAACAGTTTGTTCATTCTCTGAGTAATTAGACTTCTTAAGTCAATTGTCCTCCCTAAGATCTGAGACGTGAAATGAAATGTTTCAGGAACACTGGAACACGGTAAAGAAAGATTTGGTATGGATAGTAGCCTGAAATGAATAGAGATTGACATGTAGGCAGATGAACTGAGCATGAAACCAGATGGTTTTGCGTTCATGTCTCAAAGACAAAGGACGAACCAAAAATCAAACACCAAATGCTAGTTTAGAAGCTGAAAGCACAGCTGTAAAGGGTAATTGAAAGGTAACCCCACCAAATCTTGATTGTGCATGCAAATTCAAGAAATCACAATATAGATAGTGCGGCAGGCATACCAAATATGATAAAATAAAAAACTCCGTATGGCATTTAACACAGCACCCTTGGCACTAGTACCCTTATAATATGTGCAGTTTCTCTCATGAGTGTATACTACCAGTGTAAAACACAAATTTGGAAACAAGGAGATATTGATGTGGCTCTCAAAATGTAGAAAAGTATATTTCTACAGTTTGTTAGTATTAAAAACTGTTCTAATTAACTGACTAGAAATCAAGGATCCAACATTTAGAAGACTGAAAAAAAGGTATGTGGTTCATAAATACTAATAATTACATGAACAGCTGCTATTGACCAATAGATACCGAAAAGCCTCAACATAAACCATATCAAATAAACCCTTACCATGACTCTTCTTAGCTTGAAAATTGCATCAAATCTCAAGGGTTTGACAAAGTACTTCTCACCATCATCACATGCATAGGTAAATGAACTATCAAGAAGAGTACTGCATATGAGGGAGGGAGATGGATCAGCACAGACAAAAAAATCATTCCAGGTAAATCAATGCACAGGTAAAACTGAAAAGAGAAGGTTGATACCTTGCTGCACAACTCTTATAATATGTAAAGATGACCTCATTAAGCTTCTGAACCAGAAGATCAAAGGAAAGATCGACCTGCAAATCAGTGCAAAAGAAACACCAGTAAGATGCTTTACAAATGCAAAACAGGAAGATTAATTATAATGTTTCAGGAACTTCCAGCCCATAGCAACAACCTTTTGCCTAAACATGTCAATTTCCCAAAGTTCATAACTGTATAAGCAAGCAGCTCGAAGATGAACCGAAATGGGCTCTGGTATTACACCAATGGTGAACATACACTCATGCATGTAGTTATTTTATAATTTGAAGCAATAATGGACAGGAATTTTTGGAACATGGTTCCATGTGGAACCATGTGCACCGGTTATGAACAGTAAAATCAGAAAAAAAAACTAGAAGAAATCTTAAAATTCTGAATTTTAGGGTATCAAACTTGGTCAACTGGCCTACTCACACGTGAATTTTCACCAAGAAATGGCATCCGTGGTATTCTAGGCAAAAAAGTCAAAATCAATGCTATAAAAAATATTGCTGTTTGAAGTAATAGTAAGGTCCGATTTGTTTTCTTCGCTGAGAATACCATGTGTGTCATTTCTTCATGAAAATTCACGTGTGAGTAGGCCAGTCGACCAAGTTTGATACCTCAAAATTTCAGATTTTTTTATTTTTCCTACTTTTTTCAATTTTACTATTCACGTGTGTGCGCGTGGAACAATGTTCACCTTTGGTATTTTCGCAGTAAAATTACTGAAAATTAAAATGCAGTAGAAACACTATAGTTGTTTCTGAGGAATGGACATGACATAATTACACAATGTGTGTCCGAATAGTTACACCAGCAAGTGATAACGAGAACAACATATAACCAATTTAGCTCATTCCACAAACTTTGTAAGAATGACTGCACTTGTGATTAGACTGGTAAAAGACAAGAAATCCTTGTGGTAAATGAGAATATCTCAAATGACTGGCAATATAAGCAAACATGTTCATAACACCATATAAAATATTAGCACGTCATCCAGTATAGATAACAACACCATATAAGAATCATGAGTTTGCCTTAGTAGACTTTTTTATAGATAGATGTTGTGGGAAGGGAGGAAGAGAGCAATGAGAAGGGGCAAGATGTGATAGCAGAAATTTGAAACCGTCTTCAAATGGTTATTAGACAAAGGGGTAAAACAGCACAGATTCTTCAGCTCCTCTACCCTCCATCAAAAAGGATGAATGCAATGACAGGAGTTGAAGACGCTGATATTCAGTTAAGAGATGAAAAACAACCAACACTCGGCATAGCAACGCAAACTAAAAAAGGGCTAACGTCATAACTGTAATTGCTTACCTCAGCTTCAATTTCGTCATAGAGAAATCTCTGTTTGAGATAAGTTAGTGCATGTTGAGCAGAGTCATTGTAGAGGTCAAGTGGTATCAAAATGCTTTCAAGAAGGCCAGCATCTTGAGATTCAATGACATGATCCACCAGCATCCAGGGGAGGGAACATTCGATTGGAAACTGTCATCAAGACCAAAGTTAGTATAAACAGTGCATGACCATAAGCTGTATAAATAAAAATGTGGAGTGGCAACTCGGCTAGCTGCAACAACTAGTTAAACATGATTTAGTATGTAGAGTTAATATGGACCGAAACGCTTTCATAGTATTTCCCGACAGGCAGGATAGTATTATCCTCAGAAGGCAAACTAGAACACGAAAAGCACAGCACAGTCAAGAGCCAAAAGACAAAGACAAAAGCACATAAATAGGTGATCTTTTAGCTTGTAAGCCAAAGTTAAGCCTAACCAACCAGCCCCCCCCCCCCACCCCTAAAACTCTATAGGAAGTGCTACGCTACCATCTTCAATCCTGTAATAAGTACTCCCTCCGTTCCATAATTCTTGTCGTGTTTTAGTTCAATTTGAACTAAAAGCATGACAAAAATTATGGAACGGGGGGAGTAGAATTTATGAACAAAGATCAATGTATTGCTACCTCATTTGTAATGAATCTTATATGTGTGATCTCAAATAACACAGTTACAAGCGTATCATATGATATCCTACATTAAGGCCCTGTTCGGTAATCACCCGCTCCCGGAGTCTGCGGAGCGGGGAAACAGCAACTCCTCCGTTTTAAGCTGCAGCTCCGCCAACTCCGCTCCCGGAGTTGCGGAGCGGAGCGGTACCGAACAGGGCCCAAGTGTCCTCGACTCTTTGCATATGTTGAGTATTCACCATGCTTCTCCAAGTTACATATGTCCAAATTGAATTAGAATTCTGGTCATGAAACAAACATAACTTGCAGAACTAATTTGGGTGTAAACAATGGAAAAGAAACAAAAACGAATGATAAACTTGCCACTTAAAAAGATTTGATGTGGCAATCCTAACACCAGGACACTTCAAAGCTATATCTAAATTCTCATTAATAGTTGTTATCATCTTGAATTTCATTGTACTTCACTAAGCAATGTGAAATGATGCACCTGGATAACACGGGAAGATTCCAGGTAGAACTCTCGAAACCAAAGAAATCCAAGATCAGTTAGAGTACCAATCGTTGCTGCATGTGTCCACAAAAGTTGACAGTTAATTACATTATCCAAAGGAAAATAAAGTTGAAAATACTAAATACAAACTTTCCAAATTTAGATTGGCACTTTTTAATAATAGAACAAATTAGAATAAACTGAATGCATTTCCCCATGAGTACAACATAGATGATTAAAAATAGATTAGGTATTGAGCGCAAGAAATGCACATACAGCAGCAAGTGCATGCATATGAGAATTGTTATTCCTTATTTTGAGACCGCAGAGGTACCTGTAAAGTCCAAAATATGCAAGAAAAAACTGAGCTTGTAGAAAAACGTCTCTAGCTGTTTAAGATCTTCCACAGGTATTCCAGAGCTACTATTCCCAAATAGCCCTCCAGGTTTTCTCAGATTGCCACCAGATACAAGCTCACAGATGAGAAATTGCAAACAATGAATCTGTATGAAGTTTGATAACAGAAGTAGAAGTTAGAAATCAAATGCAGAGTGAACAAAATATTCGTAACTAGAACACATAACAAAAAATAAGATCTACAGCAAGATGTAAAATTAGAAAATTAAAGACCTAAATGTAATGTTTTATATTTATTTTAATGGGGTTCTAATCGATTCCCATTCCATATACTTGGAAATTGCACATCAGAATCATCAGAAACAGAAGTACAAAAATAAACAGAACCAACCATTTATATATAACTTTTGTGTTAGTGCAAAATCAAATATGCATAGTTTTACAGTGAAGTGAAGAGAGCTTTACAAAATCAAAATCATCTTTCAAAAAGACACAGTGAACTCTAGATGTTCTAAAGAAGCTCTTAAATTAAATATGCAATCCTCTGTCAGCTCTAGATATTCACAAGAAGCTTCAGAAATTAGAACGCGGTGTTTGCTAACTCCACAAGTTGCCTAGAAATGATTTGAGATTTGTGAGGTGATGATAAGTGATACATGAACATACATCTCAACTATAATTCTGGCCCTTTATCTCCTCATGAGAACAGTATGCTGCAATAGCACAAAAGAAAACTAGCATGTGTTACCAGAAAACTCAAAGTTCCAGTGAACTGGTTAGAAAAAATAGCACCCGGTGACTCAGTCAGTAGATTTGGTGTTATTGTTTAAGTGTGTACGTGGATTACCTAGCCCTTTCCATCAGTTCGGACTTTTTGTTGCGTTGGCTAGTGCATGAAGCTTAACATGGTATCAGAGCAAGGTTTTGAGTTCAAGTCTTGGCTTCTGCAATTTATCCAAAGATTGTTGCTGCCCCCCTTTGGCCATGTATAGGCGTCTTGAGCCATACCTCTGAGTCTATCCACGAGTTGACTTCCCGCGTCACACGTGAAGGGGTGTTGAAGTGTGTATCTGGATTGCCTAGCCATTCCCATCAGTTCGGACTTTTGGTTGCATTGGCTAGTGCATGAAGCTTAACGGTTATTACATTATTATTGTTCAAGTGTATATGTGGATTGCCTAGCCATTTCCATCAGTTCGGACTTTTGGTTGCATTGGCTAGTGCATGAAGCTTAACATGGTATCAGAGCCTAAGGTCTTGAGTTCAAGTCCTAACTTTCGCAGTTATCCAAAAAGTTGTTGCTGCCCCCATTTGTGTCCATATATAGGCCTCTTGAGCCATACTCTGAGTCTATTCACGTGTTGACTTCCCGCGTCACACGTGAGAGGGGGTGTTGAAGTGTATATGTGGATTGCCTAGCCATTTCCATCAGTTCAAACTTTTGGTTGTGTTGGCTAGTGCATGAAGCTTAACAATTATAGCCTTCAATAGTTTTGCCATTTTAGACTAATGAAAATGAGTAGAATAATGTTGTTCAATAAAATCAATGCCACCTAGCCACCTATTACAAGCTTCAAATCTGGGATTGTTTGAATATGAGCTGCTGGAGTCACATGTTAGAAACCACAGAACATTGAATAGGCTGTATTTAGTCATGTCCTTAAACTGTTTCAGATATGGTAGATGCTCAAAATACGCTGCTCTATTTGATAATGCAGCTTAAGTGCTAGACCGTTAGCCTGCTGAATGAGAATTTAAACCATTTAGCCTTTATTACTGTAAACAAGGTGGTGCAGGGGCTAAGCAGTACATACAATTAACAAATAATTGCTTTTTACGTTTAAAACGCTTGTAAAACCTGTGCAGCTGTTGGTGCAACTGGTCTCGGGTAAAATGTGCTTTGCCTCATTTCCTCAGTTTCTTGGTGTAGCGAATGCTGCTCTGGGTCTGCCTTGCTGGTGTTGGCCATCCAATCTGCGGAGAGGGTTCGCATATCAGAGAGAATCCTGAAAGAATAGCAAAGAAAAATGAACAAAACATTATAAAGTTCCCCTTAATGTATTGTCACGTTTCAGAAAGAACGATTTCACAAAAATAAATATAGATGACAAAGACAATATCACATTGAGAAATGTGTCAATCTCAAACTGAATAAATTACTATGTGTTGCCAACGACATAGCGAGCGATACACCAACCTATCTGAGACTATTGGAGCTATGGAGGGTAAATTTCAATAAAAAGTAAATACAAGGATGGCTGAGGCAGAACAAATTACCGAGAAAGGTCCTTCTTCTTCCGAAATGATGTACGAAGCATTGTATCTAGTTTATCCTGTACAAAATCCTGGACCTCCATATGTATTGTTTCCCACAAAGCTTCAGACACCAAGGTGTCACAATGTTGCATCATCAATCCAATACTCTTTATATAACCGATTAATTCAAGCAGGGCCCTTCTTTCTTCTGCAGTATAGTTCCAACGTACTACCTGCATGCAAGTTGCAAAATAGTCACTAAATGTAAGTTACGAACACAAAAAAAAATCAAATCAGTCTTACAGCTTATGAAATACAAACATGGATAGCAAAAGATTTCCGCTAATATTATCTGTTTGAGAGAGACCACGACAGTTAATAATGCAATAGAGTGTTGTATATTGCATAAACAAACAAGAAGAAAATGGATGCTACAAATACTTCTTGCGAAGCAAAAAGGTAGACCTTTTCGTAGTCAAAAAATGTCGCTGAGTCTTGTTGAGAATCTGAAATAGGTGGCTCTTTGCAAGGGCGTGAAAATTTCCAAGCACACTGTTCCCAGATCCTGCCAGTCCATCGACTAAGAAGCTGGAAGCCTTCCACAACAGTATCATACATGTTCCCCTTAATATCCCTAGACCAGTCATTGTCTGCACCATCTGATGACTTCAATGTTATCATCTGAAAGTACAGTCCAGGTCAATATCAATGCAGCTCACAGCCCACCAAATTAAAATAAGCTTCATTAGCTTATAGAAATTAAGTCTCTTTTCCAAAAAAAAAAAAGCTAATTTAGATCTCCATGAATAAACACATGTGCTGCATCAGTTTAATCAATGAGTACAATTAGCAGAAACGATTGAGACAATTAGCAGAAACGATTGAGACAATGTTTGTGACAATGATTACTTTGGTAACTCAAAATGATAATAACATCACCTGGTTCATTGCAGAGGCAAAACGTATAGAGAAGTCATCATGCTCAGCTCTTATAGTTCCCATGTGGTTCAGAATCAGGTAATGCCTCTGATAAGTGGTTCAGTTAAGGAATTTAAAGCACGATAGTACTTTCCATATGTAAATATATATAGCTCATTTTTTAACCACTTTATATAGCTTGTTAATTCATGATGTTTATCATCCCCAAGAAAAATCAGTTTGATTTTATATCATTCTTTAATTGGAATATTGATTTGCTTAGACAATAGTCACATTTGTTGAATCCTCAACCTGCCCCGTTGACAAAAACATGATTAGAGGACTTGGCAGAAAGGATATTCTTGTAGCTCACGAGGAGGAATTTCATGGGGAGCTGGAAGAGTAAGAAGACGAATTTGACTGGAGAAATTTTGAAAATATGATGACAATTCCTTCAACATTGCAGCAGGGGATAAATGCAGATCTGGAAATGCCGGAATAACTGGATCATTCTGCAAAATAGGTACGAGTAATAGTAAATAAATGGTAAAGTAAATAAATGGTAAATATAACCTAAATAGCACAAATAGATAAATTAAACTTTTTCTAAAAAAATAGGTTAACAGAACAGCTAGAAGATGATAATCATACCTTGAAAATATTGAGAAGACGGTTTATCTTGACTCTCTTATAGAGTGACTCGCTCTCTTTCTCCGATGAGGTTGCTAGAACAACCAAAACTGGGAGGACACGAAGTAGGGTGTGACGCTCAGGGAAAAGAAGAGCAAAGTCTAATTCCAATGACTCCACACAGAATACTATAAGGACCTGTAGAATGTCCTCAACACTATTCTTTGAGTCAAGGGAATCATACTGTCATGGACAAAGAAAATAACAGCAACACGCAAGAACAGTAGTTGTAGTAGGTACATGATAATAAGCAGATTTAGAAGCCATCTAAAATTGTACATGACCATCAGACATCAACATAAAATTGTTCAAGTGCATGATTTATAAACAACGACGTCAAATGCCGAACTGCATCCCCACAATCTTCTAAGAAAGGTGACATATTTTCCCTCAGTCAGATCCTATATATTTTTTGTATGGGCAGACTTACTTTTTCCTAAGGCTCGAAAATCTTTGTACTATGGGCAGCAAAATTCTTGTGGTGATCTGGTAGATGTATCAAAGATACTATATATTTTGAACGCGCATTATTTTCCTACTGCTGAGCATACATACTACATAGTAATGTCTAAGAAAGAAAACAGGATAGTAGGATACGTATTTGTCCGAAACATCTCAGCATGCAAATTTAACAAGATGGCCCATCTGGTGCTCAGAAAAATCTGCAAATAGTAGCAAAAATCATATTAGTTACACCATTATAGATTTTATGGCAAACAACTCAATGGGAGGTATTGGCCTCAGAGTGCATTCCTTTAACTAAAAGTGCAAGAGTGTCCATTCTCGAAGCAATACTTAAAATGTTATAATATAATGCAGAAATGACCATGATCACGGTGACTTAGATTTTCAATGATATGACAAATCAGCAACCTGAAGATCATCCAGCTCTTCTCTCATAGTGTCAGTGTCCTGCCACTGGGTGCTTACTTGAGTAAATGTTCTGCATCAAAGTGTAAGGACTAATAAATTCTCGGAGCATCTATGTGGACCAAGACTAACATGGATGCACCTTCAAAGCCATAAATCATAACAAAAAAGCATGTACCATAAAATATTCAATTTCTGCAAATATTGGTACATGTTTATGCTCTTATAGGTAGGTAGCAAGGTAGTTTAATCTTTGAATAGTAAATTGGCCATGGTAGGCTGATCCTAAGTAACTAATGCAGATCTAATAAATGGTTTCTTTTTAATCAGTAATAACTACAGCATGCACCAAACTATGTTGAGAGTAGAATCATAAATTTGTGATATGCTAATATATATAGGTACAGTAACTGCAGCCTGTTGGAAGTTGCAAGAGTTACTCAGTTACACTTGCCACTCAAAGCAAGCAGTCCCAACCATTCGTGCAATCTGCTCACTATTCTTCAGTAGGTTAGTAGAACTCCCGTAGAATCGGGTGAGTATTTGATCTCTAAACTAGCGAATGCATACCTCACCTTAAAGAATACATGCAAAACATGGAAAAGTTACCATGTACTCCCTCCGTCCCACAATATAAGACATATTTGCAAGCTATGTTAGCTTCCAAAAACGTCTTATATTATGGGATAGAGGGAGTACCAATTACTTATTGGAAGCAAGTAGTGACTAATTAAACTGAAGGTGAATGTGGACTACAGCTATCCATAACTCATTGCTGCTAGTTACCCTACGTGCCTATGTCCCTACCAAAAAGAGAGTTTTGTTCACAGCTGTTGAATAGTGAGAAAATCAATTGGCAATCAACCAATTTTACTTCATCAACTCATTTCTTCATTTTGTGGTACGTGGTCTGGGAATTAAAAGTCAAAGCATGACCATATACCTCTTGTACCATGAAAAATCATTAGGTATACTTGCTTTTGCATTCTTAAGATGATCAAGCTGTAGTAGGACATCAAGCAATTTCAGCATAGACCTGCATTAAAATAAAAATAAAACCATAAACCAGATTCTTAATTGAAAATACATGGACTTAACAATGCTACTCTAAGAAATAGATTAACAAAACTAGGTTAAGCTTGGAAGCTCTATTTTCCCTCTACAGGCTGACGAAGTAATCAGAAGTCAAAACATACACCGATTCATCTGGAACCAGAATGATGAAATAGATCCCATTTATAGCAGCACAATTGTAACATCGAAATTTCTACGTCCATGTCTGCTAACCTATAAGTGGATACTCCAGAGACAGAGTTCTGGAAACTGTTACCAGAATGCTTTTCCTCTGGTTTAGATGTATTGTTTCGTTGGCTGACAATTAGAACCAGCTAGTTTTACTATTTCGAGTAGTAAACAAATGTCCAGCTGATATTTAATTTGTGAAATCATAATCATAGACATCATATTATTTCTTGAAAAGAAAGATAAAGAACAGACACCAGGGCAAAAGAACAAACCAAAAATGAGTGACTGTGGGTCCATTGACCAGTCTCTCGGGCCTAGAAAACCTCTGCATATCAGCTGCCAACTGCACCAGATAACAAAATGCTGTTAAAATCTGCAATGATGCTGAAATATTTCTGAAGGTCTTGCACTGTTGGCAAATGCTAAACATTACTACGGTACCACAAGAAAGATGGTGACGATGACACAGGTCCAGACCCTAGTTGATTGGTAGCTAAAGATGACAGGACACTTGTCCTAATGTAAAACATCATATGTACTTCAATTTCAAGAAAGTTCCAGGGGTTGTCGGACAGGTTTTACTCAATTTTGCATTAACAATAACATATAAGAATCTTTGGTGAAAAGTAGCCATCAGTGCCGTATGGAAGCAGGTACTCTATAAGAGACAAGTATGATGAAGGAACTAAATTACTAGACACAATGGGGGTCCTACCTTTGAAGCAGCAGATGCTTGCCACCTCTGAATTTCACGTAAACGACTCATTTCCAAGTCAAGAACTTGATATGTTTCTAGGTACAAATCTGCCTGGCTATGCTTCATTGAATCTGGCAGCTGCATTCAGTGTTCAACAGTCCATGATACTCAGTCAAGACTACAGTAGAGAATTATGTACTTCATGGTGAAGAATTTATACAGCACTAAGAGTATTATGCACTATGAACCATCTTATATCAACATTAGAGAAAAGACTCAATGCACTACTTCATGGTGAAGAATTTATACAGCACTAAGAGTATTATGCACTATGAACCATCTTATATCAACATTAGAGAAAAGACTCAATGCACAAGTAACAGATAAGCTAATCAAAAAGTGAGAAAGCATAATAAAACATATTGAAGAGAAGCTTTCACAAAGGCCAATACTGCTGTCACTAGCCTTAACTTCTTTATCTACTTGAAAGCTGATGAGAGTACGGCTTTCTTAAAGGAAGTGTCCGTGCCTATGATATTTTTATCCATACTGGAACTCAGTATAGGAGGGAAAGTTGATTTTTGGATGGAATCAAATACGCAGTATTTACAGAAAAAAGTCTTCGTTTATTGGGAAAGAATCAATATTTTGGGAGGCCCGCGCGACGGGCTATTAGCTCAGTGGTAGATATTTGGGTTCAGAATCCACAAGATGAAACTTCAGAAAACTAATCAGCTCAAATCAGAGCCAAGTGCAGTGACGATGTGGTCCAATCAACATAACAACTAACAGAAGTCTGCACATATCTTGATTGACCGTCGTGGAAAGTGGAAAAAGGGAGTAGCTGTGTGCTAGCAGATTAAATTTACAAATTAATGACAGAACTACCAGTGATTTAAAGGAGAAACATTAGTTACAGACGTTGTCAACAACATTGTAGAATTCCCGGTGATTTTAATATCCATATGTTGTGGAATTGGAAGAGAAAAAGAATAATGCAATACTTCTTTTGAGACATCAACTGCATTATGGTATAATGTGGCGATTATTTAGATGGAAATAAATGGATGGACAGAGTAAGGAGAAGTTAACCTGAGGTAGCGCCTTAACACAGCTACGGTATGTGTACAGCAAAGAAGCCATTTCCTTTCCCTCTTGAATCAGAGTATTCTGCAGTTCATGTTCATCCACAAGACAGTGAAAGAGAGAAAGTAAGTAAGCATTTTCAAGTTAAGGCAACATGAAGAAACGTATTTACAGTAAGAAGATATATAGGAGAAAGGAACAAAAGAGGGGAAATGGGATTAGAATAAACTGAGCTACGATATACCAAAATATACAATCCTTTCCAGATCCATTTTGCTCCTTAAAACTACAAGTTTTTTTCTCGTGATTTATATTACATTAGGGTACATTCACCTAAACCATTACTACAACAGTTGCTAGGACTAAGTACAGAGCTGAGACCCCTTTAACTCAGGAATCTTGGCTACGTGATTATTATTATTTTCAATAATAAATAGGAACAAAAGAAAGTGCAGTTATTGTTCATAATAGTGGTAATAGAGAAGATAGTGATCGAGGACTTGTGGTGATATACTGTTAATCAATGTAGTGGTGAGAAAATAGCAGGTAAATGGAAAGTTGACAGTAGTCATGATGAGACAAAGGTAGATAGTATATACACTAGCATATACCTACGATGAATCAAGTATGATGATGGTGCCATGAAAAAAAGTATGTGTGCACATGTTTGAGTGAATGTCCATGTAAAGAGGGGATGTTTTGGCTAGGCAGCAAGAGTATAGAACTAACTGACTGAGATTGCTTCTTAAGTTAACATTTTATACTTCATATAGATCAGTGGAGGTACAATGGTACATATATCAGTTATTCAGATGCACCTCACCTAAATACAAGAATTTCCCCCAAAAAATGGAACTAAATAGTTATAGATCAAAAGATGGCATAGCTATTAGATATTTGCAGGGACGTCACTTGAAGAAAAAATATTGGCAACCAAAAGGGAACGAATATATATTGATCAGAAAGAGAAGATCGTGCACAATGCAACAGCAAAGAAACTAGCAGTTACATACCAGCTGGTTGATTGCTTTTGTATCTTCCCCTAATGATAGACGATAAGCAGCAACATCGCTGTACTCTGAACATAAAAGTGCAATTTTCTATTACAATACTCAATTTAACATTAATTGAAATACTGGAAAATTGTTGGATAGTTCAACGATTCTTCGAGAGCAGGAAAACATGAAAAATTAATCACAAGGCATGCAATGGGATGGGTAGATTCATGTCCTGTGGATGTGGCTGTGAGTGGCATCTGCCCATCAGGCATCAGCACAACAATCGTGCATAACAAAGTAGTACTTCAAAGCAGCAATGAGATGAAAGACATTTATCGCGTTCGCATACCGATAGGACTATTAGTTGCATATCTTTCACTTGACAGGAGCACGGCTAACCCCTGTACATCTGGCTGCTCGTCCTGAAATTTAAAACATATAACTAATTAATAGAAACTCAGGGTCAAGCAGAGCAGGGCAAACATTACTACAAAAGAGATCATAATTGATTACACAAGGATCTGAAGTTTGCGCCCTGCAACAACACATTCCTACCTATGTAAAGTGAATAGCCACATTGGCAGGCTGCCTAACCTAAGTCAAACATGGTTATACAGAGTCCACAGCAGCCTCCCAATAACCCATCAAACTGAACTTCTACATGTCACAATTCAAGCCATTGCAAACCTGCGAACTACGAAAACAATGGAACTGACACTAGATTACCTAAACCTGGGAACTAGGCTGACAATGAGTTCGATAAGAACAATAGTTGACAAGTGACTCGCATGTAAAGCAACTCAAATAGCAGTCACTTCATCCAACATTTGAACTACATACAACTGGAAGGAAACTCAATCTAGTAGCCAAAATTAAAGGGCACCTATAACGGCAGACCAGCACTCGAGTACCGTTGAACTGTGGCAGCAAAGCACGCCTCTACATTCCTCTAGTGGGGTTCAATTGAAGCCGCAGGACAGCCAGCACTGAGGCTACCCTACCACCGTCAAATTCGCAGCGCCGGAAGCGGAAAGCCCCTACAGAGCACCGCATTTCCCCGCGCAGCGCTTCTGCTGGCCCGGGCCCGAGGAGCAGATCGGGCGCCAGCTGGGAACGGGGGGGGCGGGGAGGAGCGGGCCTGGACGGGGGTTTTACCTCGAGGGAGAAGGTGGAGAGGGCGGCGATGGCCTCCTCGACGGGGATGGCCATGGCGCCGCGCCGCCGGCGGATGCGGACGCGGGCGGGGCGCCGGGGAGGAGGGGTGCGCGGCGGTGGGCCGGAGTGGGTGGGAGCGAGGTGGCGGAGGAGTGGGAGGGGGGAGAGGAGATGCACCACCAACTCGTGTCGTACCGTGGGCTGAGCTGTGACGACTGACGACGTACGCCGTGGGGACGGACGGTGGAGTAAAGAGGGGTGGACGGAGAGAGAAGGCGTGGAGTGTACTCGAAGTGAAAGTGGGGAGAGAGGACGACGGCACGGCGTTCGTCCGTTACGACGAGTTACCGAGTGAACGAACGAAATGATTCTGCCGCGTCGTGGACCATCCAGTCCGGTGGAGCTGAGTGGGCTGTCGCTACTTTCAGCCCAGTTGTGCGGGAACCCACCACCAAGGTAGCCCAGCCAGGTTAGGCCCTGCTTTTTTCAGGGGAGATTAGGCCTGCTGTGTTGCATGAACGCATTGCCTCCAGGCAGCTTCAAATGGGCCTGACCAGTTTTTTTAAAAAATAACCACATCATATATTCCGCATGTATGGCTAGGCCATCCGGAAGGTCTTTCCTTCGTCCCTGTAAACATTGTGACGGGTTGAATAAAAGCTTCGTGAGATTGCTTCAAAAAAAATATTCCATTAGATGAATGTATTACAAATAATACACATGTGGTCATCATAGAATACATACATAGATGTCTTGCAATATTGCATCAAAAAATTTGCAAGAAGTAAAACTAGAATTTCACTTCGGCAGAATCTTGTGCCATGCCAAAACGTCTCCTCTGTCGCCGAGACAATGTTGAAGAAAGAGGAAAACTGCCATCATACCAAGATCTAGAGGAGCACCTTTGCATACAAGGATATTTTTCAAGCCAATGATTCGGACCACCGCAAGCGACGAGGCCGAGCATTTGCGGCACATCGGACGGGGTTCTTCCCTGTGCCCGCTGGATCCCGGCGCTGTCAACTTCATCCAACACGATCAAAGAAGAGGAATGTCGTTGCGTGCCGGCATCCACTCACCCCCATTGCAAGACATCAAACACAACCGCAATTGCCGACACCAAAGCCACCCGAGAGAGAGTTGAGCATCGACCATTAGGCACAAATCTTACCAGATCCTAAGACCGGCAAGAAGACTGAGCCACCTACTCGTCGGTGCCGCCTATTAGAGCACCACCGAGATGAAAGAAGAGCATAAGCAAATTATTTGTTTATTAACACGATGAATACTTGTTTTGTTTATTTATTTTTATATTTCAGAAAACTATGAATACATATATTCCAAAAAAATATGTACTTCAACTTTCAAAAAGATTACCTCAAATCAAAAAAATATTAACACGATGTAAAAAAAATGTCTGTGTAATTTAACAAAAATGTTGATAGAATTGGAAACGTTTTGTGACATTTAAAAATGTTCCCGGGTTTCAAGAAAATGTATGTTACATTTAAAAAATGGTTAACATGTATAAAAAGTATATTTTATATATACCTTCAATGTACACTGTGTATGTAAAAAATGCGGAGTAGACATCAAAACAAAAAAATTAAAAAAATGTTAATCGTGTATAACAATTTATTTATTATGTATATGGGAAATGCACAGTCTGTTCGAATGTAGACATGTGGTGAAAATAAATTAAAAAGGAAGAAACCCACAAAAAACTGAAGGAAACAAAAAGGAAACCGTTGCGAAAGGTGAAAACCCGATAAGAAAACTGCAGAGGAAAAACTCGCGCCACAGCCACATTAATGGACCGGCCCAGTAGCGGCGAGATGGTGGTCCAGATGGAGGAGCTCCGGCGGAAATACAGGACCCGATTTACGAGCAGACTGTTACTCAAAAAAAAAAGAGCAGACGTGCTCGTCTGAAGCCTGAACAAGTGAACAGATTGTCTGAATCTGAATATATAAGCAGGCAGGCGTGCCTGCTTAGGCATGCTCAAGTGTTTTTCTCTTCACACAAGGAAAAGCTGGTCAGGTAGCACCAAAAGAATGCGTTAAACATCACTTTTTACAGACCCTCTGGCCTGGCCTGCAGCAGCAGCGGAACAAGGGAAAGCTGCAGTTATGCTACGCCTGGCCGCGTACTACACCCCTGTCGCTGGCTGCATCCATGTCTTGATCGATGTGCGGCGCAGTGCGGTGATGCCGGACGGTCTAGGCAGCCGGTGGAGCAGCGCGCATGTGACACTGTGTTCGATCGGTGAATCGCTGCCATGCATGGCACGCGTTCTGCCTCTGCATCAGGACGCCGCAAGGACTGCTCGACTCACGCCGGACCGGCTGTAAAAGGCCAGCTGCGCCTGCGTGTGATGCATTTTGTCACACATTTTTATCAAGCTTGGCTGAGGTTAGTTCATTAAAATGAGAGTCGTAAGTTGGCAAATCTAAGGGAATCTTGTCACACTTTTTGTGTGTATGTCATGTGTGGTTCAAGTGTGGCTTGTCTAAGGTGTGACTCGAATCAAACACTCATCTAAATTGGTCAAACTTGCCTAACCTAAGGTGTGGCAATCTTTGACAAAGTTAGTCACAAATCAAACAGCCTCTAGCTAGCCCTTCACACATTATATCGTTGGATTCAGATTTCAACATTGTTTTCAACTATATTGTTTTTGCTACACATAATTGATGTTTTATATTAGTTACTAAAATCATGGGTGGCCCTATATATATATGAGGGGACTAATAAACGAGGACGAAGGTTATTACCACGTACTACTCGCTTTGTTCTGTTCCAAGTCAAGCACTTGTTCGTTGGCACAAAACAGCACATGCGGATCGCTGGATAAATTTGTCGCCCAGAGAAAAGGATAACCAAACTACCGGGCTTAGGTGTAGTATACATGCTAGGTACTTCCTCCGTTCCAGATTAATCGTCGCGGAAACGGATGTACTTAAAACTAAAATACATCTAGATACATTCATACCTACGATAAATAATTCGGAATGGAAGGAGTAGCATGTACCATCGTCGTCCCAGTGGCCGGCTCCGTCGTTAACTCCACCTGCATGCGGCCCAGTAATGGCTTGCTGCCGGTCGATGCGGTTTTCGCTCGCGTCTGCAGGTCCGGTCGGGGGCCGGTCCAGTCCGGGGAGAGATGAACAGAGACAACCGCAACGTACGGCGATCCATCCATCGGTCCAGCGCGCCCCACCTGCCAAGCCCGTACCAACGCAAGCCCGTCTCGGAGCGGAAGAAGACGACCGTGCCGGTGCCGGTGCCGACCCGTATGGACAGGACGTAATCTTCATCGGCGCGTGGTGCAGGTGCGGACAGAGGACGGGACGATGCGGGAGCTAGGAGACGTACGTTGCCATGGCGACGCAAGCAGCAGGCAATCAAGTGTGGCGCGCGTGCGTGCGTGCTCGTGCGCCGATCATTTGGCCATCGACGAGACTCCGCCACACACAACAGGTTACGTATCGCCCGTGCTCCGTAGCCCCTGCTCGGCTGCCCGGCATGGCTCATGTGGTGCAGTGTCGATCAACCGGATGCGGATGCTGCGTTTTGACTCTCAGGTGCATCTGCATTTGAGGTGAACAATGGATATACTTAAAACGGTAAAAAAAATTGACTTTTTTTGTGATGCTAGATGCTCATGAGTCCGTGTCAAATTTCGTGAAGTTTAAACATTACAGTAGCTCTTAGCAAAAAAGGAAAAAATTAGGGATGTAAAAAAGTTTACTGTTCATGTATTGTTTGACCGATTTGTCTTTTTTGTCATGAGCTCCTCAGATGTCCGAACAAAGCTGAAATTTGACACGAACATTACGCATTGGAACATATTCCACCTGAAAAAATTCAGATTATTTTGAATTTACTATTCACAGGATGCAGATGAACCTGCGCACCAAATTGAATATCCGTGATCAAACGATCTACAGTAGAGTGTAACTTTTTGTTTGAGTATACTACTAGTGTGTGCCAGCTGAGGCAAGCAAAAACTAAAGCTGAAAGGTTAATTTCTCGCCCAGAACAGAAAAAGAAAACCAGGGTACGATCGTAGGTAGTTTCTCTTGCCCAATTTTTTCACTGCACCTCGAGAATTTGTCGCTGCCGATCCATGCGGCTTTCGCTCGTGCCGCGCAGATCCGGTCGGGGGCCAGGTCCAGTCCGGAGGGAGACCGGCGCAACGGCTGCTGCGCGTACGGCGATCCAGCCCGGCCGAGATCGATCGGTCGCTGCCAAGAACCCGTACCGGCGCCCGTCGATCCTCCGACTCCGAGGCAAACCAAGCCCCACAGTGCCAGTTACCGACGCCAGCAGTATCGACAACGGGACAACACGTGGGTGGAGACGTGCAGGTGCGGACGGAGGACGGGACAACACGGGGGTGGAGACGTCGCCGTCGCCGTCGCCGAGAACTGCCTTGCACGAGACGTCGCAGGGCAAAAACGATGGAGCAGTTCAGCCGCTCACCGGAAGAAGAAGACCGCGAGGACCACAGGCGAGAGCGACGTTGGATAGGATACCTGTCCGAGCTACAAGTTGCGGGGAGGGGAGGGGAAGAGCTCTCGAAATCTTTGGTGGGTCGATAAGGGCATGTACAATGGTTGATAAGATAGTTATACAAAAAGATCATCTCTTGTCTTCTCTTATTAAGCCTTTTTTTGTAAGTTTTCTCTTCTTCATCTCATTATTTATCTTAAATGACACTTGTAAGATAGCACCATTGTACATGCCCTAATCCACGCGGCTTTGCTCCCCGGGACACACAGAACGGTTAACAACTTAACCTTAGTTTTCTTTTTTGGCGGGCAGCGAAACCTCAGTTTTTTTTTTTGCACCGAAATTAGGATCTTTATTTTTTTAACGAATTATCATAGCAAGTGCAGGGGCAGTAGGAAGTATACTGCGGTAAAGAAGTAGTAGTACTGCACTGTACGTACGTATGCTTCCACGTATGAATCAACGACCATCATGCATTAAGCCACTTCACGGGAGTGGCACGCATGCAAGACCCAACGGCCGGAAACATAATTGTACTC